TGGCTCCAACCACATTAATCCAGCTTTGCATATATTGAATGTCGCTCCCTTGTGCCCAAGAGGCCAGAAGTTGTCTCCATGTTCTGTTTGAAGTACACAGCAGTATTTTGTTCCAAGACAGCTAGTATTGCTCCCACTTGATGCTAAATACCATGACTGCAAAATTATAGTTAATGTCTATTATGCATGTTTCATGCAAAAATATTTTAATCACAAAATGGCAACTATAGGGGTTTGGGGGTTAATCCCTATGCCCTTCCTAGCAGGGTAAACCAGCATGTTTGATGTTCCCAGAAGTGGTTTTATAGCACCACTTTGAATTTCCAGGCTTTTGTATTTTTCTCTGGTGTTTTGAACTACAAGGAAGCTTACTTACTTACTTAGACGATCCCTCGTTGGACAAGTAGGATAGTCTTCCATGATCAGTATTCTTGTGGATCCGTAGGTGGTTGTGGAGTCCTATTCTTGACCTGCATCTTCTCCCACAGTGAGGGCATTGGTTTCCAGGTGGAAGGCGGTCTCGGTCGGAGTTGGCTTGACATGCCTTCCTCCTGGCATGTTTCTCTCTCTCACCTCAAATTGGTTTATTTTTATTTTCTTTGGAATATGCCTGTGTGAGAGTTTTTTTAATGTGTGGAGGTCAGTGCACAACTGATCAATACACAGTCTTCACAGAGTGAGGTTCCACTGGTGGTGTAGTTTAACACAATGACCGTGGCTTCTCAATCTGTTGCAGCCTTCTTCCGCCATCACAGCCATTGTAACATGTTATCCTCCGCCTGCTCCGCCGTTGAGGTCTTTGGGTCTTCGGACTGTACTTGGTCTGGAACCTTCCCTGCGGCCACTCCTGGGAGTGCACAACTCCAGTCATTGTGCCCACAGGTTCATTGGAACACGCAAGCCCCCGCTCCACGACAAGGTAACAGTCCATCGAGGGGGACAAGAAAGCTTAAAGTGGGGGCAATACTGCAATAGTTCTGAACCATTTGAGACAATCTCCCTGCATTCTTGGATTCCAATTGCTGGAAAAGAGATTCCATCTAAACATTAGAAAGAATTTCCCGATGGTGTCTTGGAGAGTGATGGAGTCTCCTTCTATGGGTGTTTTTCAGCTGGATGTCTATCCACCTGGAGTGCTTTGACTCCTTGGGGTCTCTTTCAACTCTATGATTCCATGATCCCATGCAAAATTGCTGTGATGGGATGAGGCTATAACTTCTATCCACCACACTCTGCTAATATATATGTATAGGTCCAAGAATCAACATGGTGCAACAGTTTGAGTGTTAGGATTGGGGCAATGATTCCCAAACTCTGGTCCTCCAAGTATTTTGGACTTCATCCCTCAGCAGCCTCAACCACTTTAGCCACTGATCAGAGTTTCTGGGAGCTGAAGTTCATAAAACATGGAAGACCAGTGTTTAGGAATCTCTGGATTGGGACAATGGGATATTGAAGTGATTTAGGGAAACCCAGTGGATAATCTCAGACAAGTCAAAGTCTGTCTGCATAAAAAAAAAAAGCAATGCCAACCCTTCTCTGAATAAGACTTGCAACCCCCCCCCCCCAAACCCAGGAAAGGGTCATCATAAACAATAATAACAATCTGAAGGGTGCTGTATCAAAACTTGACCTATCCTTTGGAGTTGAAAGTGTTATGCTTTACCTGATTCTAAAGGATACCAAAAATGACAATGACATAAAATATATTATTTAGTTTAACTGCCCCTGAAGAAATATTATTGGTGTTTGCAATGTAGTAGATATAGCCTAAAATGAACATAATATTCAGCCCACTTTTCTGAATGAGGATACAGTATTTCCAGGGATTTTATTTTTCTTGGAAGGAGATCACTAGAAGCTCACTGGCATTTTATAGTGTTTGCATTTATTCATAAATATACAGGTTGAGCACAGGTGGAGGAACATCATAAACATTGCAATAAAAAGTCAAATCACAGTGTCCAAACACTAGTTCTCCAAGGATATAGCCAGCACTCCAAGATGCTTACTGAAACACAGATATAACTCTTTCTTTTGCAATTTTCGGGTTCTCTTTTCACACATTTAACACAGCTAAGGATGGAGGGCTGCTTTGGCCCTACTACAGATATTTCCTAAAACACACACTTAAAAAAACTTATGCAAAAGCATGTAATCACGACTTCTCATGAAAATATTTTTCTGGTCTATGAACGCTGACCTATCTGGCCCAGGATAGCATAAAGAAACCTGACATGAAACGGACACCATTTGAAAAGCCATCATAGTATAGTGATGTGACTATTAGGCGAAAACTCTGGGAGATTAGGGTTCAAATACATTCTTGGCTTAAGAAGGCAATGACAAATCCACTCTGAGTACTTGTAATGAAAATCCTACGATAAAGTCACCGTCAGTCAGAGTTGACTGGAAGGTACAAAGCAAAACAACAACAAACATTACCCCCTCCCCTTCCCATTTATCTCTGGCAGTGCATTTTGTGAAGTTGTTTTGATGTAATTCCATTATAAATTATGAATGGAAAGAACCCCTGGGAAAGGAAAATGTACAATATACTGATGTAACTTGTTGGGCAGCTTCCAAAAACTCAGCTCTCTAATTTGGGTTCAACTTCTGTGTCATCAGCTAGAGAGTAGAGTCAGAAAAATGCACATTCATATCAAATGAGGCATGTTATAGAGCAGCCATTTTTTCCCATCTCAAATTATTCGAAATAAAAGGTATGTGCTGTCATTCCTATGTTTTGTATTCCAGGTTAACACATTTGAAAGTGAGAGTACACTCCTGAGATTAACTACTTAAAAATAAATTCCTGTCACCAAGAAGAACCAATTGTTTTATAGGTACCATTAAGGAATCTATTCATCTCTGGACAGCTCTTTTATCAGAAAGTTGCAGCTTTAGCAACCATCTGTACTGGCTAGTTCACATCAGCAGTTCAATTTGCCCTTTTCTAGAAAGTGATTTGAGGTAAGGGGAATCAAATGATAGCATCTGATTTATTTTAGACTCAAAAATTGCTCACTTGTGTTATAAGGCAACAAAAGCTGGAATAATTGAAAAGGCAATGGAATCAGGAATTTCTATTTACATTAAATCCATTCAACACCATTTGTCTTCTCACTTGATGCTTTAAGTTATCATGGAATAGAGCAATCCTTGAAAAATACCACTTGCTTATCTGAGGATCTGCTGACTGACCTACCTGCCTGCCTACAGATTAGATGCCCAGGACTTGTTTGTTAATGCAATGTGGAGGTATTGATCACATGGTGATGCTAAGAATAAGACAGATCAATCCATCATTGAGCCAACCCTGGATAGTTGTTTGCAATATACTTGAATGTTCTATTGTATTACTACCTTTTAGAACCTAGGAAAGATTAAGGTTGAGATTTCCATCCTCTGCTGACCCTTGTTATCTCAAACAGAAGTTGAAATACATTTTTCATTCTCATTCACTTTCCCCTTTCTTCTATCATTATCTTTGGATTGGCTTGCACAGTGTATTCATTGGGATTCCTCCATAGTCACTTTCTTTTCAGCTCCACCTCAGTGTATTCTCTGAATGTTGATGACTTCATTGTCACATTAAAACTTCTGCACTCATGGAGACATCACTCTCTTTCAGTGAGATACTTGTTGCTGAAAGCTTTTCTTCCATGAGCTAAGATATAGAGGGAGTATGTTTCTCTCTAAAAATGACTTGCTGTAACTTTATGTGCCAGTTTAAACTTGTGATTCATTTTGACAACTCTGGCTCACTCACATGACACACAACACACTCCCCAGTGTGTTGTTCTGGTGATATTTTTCCATCAACATTCAGTTCCACCAAGACAATGCTATGACAAGTTCTGTACTGGTCGTAATTGCTATATGCTGACCTTCTGGATGAGAATGACTTCCAAGCTTTTCTCCCGAGTTTTTCTATGCTTTCTTTTTTTGACCAAAAGTGTGGGAGAAAGAAACCTAGATTGTCCTCTGTTTCCTCTTTCTCCATCTAGCATTAGTTAACTTTTATTATCTGATGCATGTGATGATTGTTTTTCAAAGAGCAACTAGGCAGCAACACAACAGTGAATAATTACAAAAATATTCATATTAGAAAACCATTCTTCTGAACAGATGATGGTCTATGGCATCGTGTGTGTGCATATGTATGAGTGAGTGTATGTATGTATGTGAATACGTGTGTATATATGTATGTGTGTGTATATAAAATCCACCTGCAAGTTGCAGCAATGTGCTGTGGTTTGTGTTTGCTCATGCTGTAAATACAAATGATAATACAAGTGCAAGCTTTTAAACTCCTACCTGCTCCACAGTTACAACAGAATGGTTGGTATTTGACACTTGAACTAATTGACTGAAATCCTGCTGGTTCTCTGTGGCATTGGTTACACTTTGCCCAGGGTCACACAGTAGTGACCAGAAAATCAGACAAAATCTGATAGCTTCGAGCAGTGTATTTGTTAAGTGCTTGACTTCCTTCAGGGCTATTGTGCTGCCAACACCTGTGCCAACAAAGTTATACAGGTGTAGTGACCCAGCAGGTTCCAGTCATTACAAACAGACCACTATGTTTAAAAATGTGTACCACCAAGAACTGTGGATGTGTGTATTTGCACAGCGGTACTCCAATGGTTTAGTATCTGTATCCAACACATCGCAATTCTATAAAACATTTATTTTTCCTCTACTTGAATCATTGTTAAAATCATTACTTTTCATGAACTTTTATTGACTCCATCCTGGCCTTTTTGTACTTGTGCCCCAGTTTTCTTAAACGTAATTTCAAAATTCCCTCCTCCCATTCTGAAATGTACACAAATAATCACATTAAGTCTCTTATCCTTCAAAACAATTGTGTTTGGTTGATGCCTTTCAAAACAATAAGGATACTTAAAACAACAAAAACAACAATATTAACATTTGTTCAATAACTTAAGTGCTACATCATGGCATAATTGGGATATATGGATTGATGTTAAAGGAAACTTTCCAAGAATTCCTCCCAAGGCCAAAAAAAATGTGATGGAGGGGAACTTCTGGCAGACAAGGCTTCAATTTGTTTCTCTTTTCTCTTGTTCCCCCAATGCTCTGTTTCCCCTGCCAGCTTCACTTCTCTGTCCTTTCCTGGTGTCTCCCACTGGTGAGAAGATAGATGACTAGGGATCAAGAGGTGCACTTGTCCCTTCAGGGACTGTTGCCTCCCCCAGGAATGGGAGGCAGTACAAAGGTCTCAGTGTAGTGCTGGCTGCTTGTGGAGAAAGATCTCCCTGAGATTCTTTGAAATCTGTTTCTCCTCTGGAAGTAGCTGCTGTTGCCACTGTTAAAGGACCTTTGCCTGTTCCTCAGGTACTCCTTGTAGTTTTTGGTTAGCAAAGTGTAGAGGAAAGGATTGATGCAGCTGTTGCTGTAAGTCAGGCATGTGGTCAGGTAGTTGATGTTCCTTGTAGCCTTCTGGGAGACAGGGAAAGGTTCACAGTATTGGAAGAGGAGTTGCCATATCCAGAAGGGTAAGAAGCAAGCCCAGAAAACCAGCACAATGGTGAAGATGAGATAGAGCACTTTCTGGTTGGGAATCCGCTTGGTCTCTTTCAGGGATGTGGTTTGGGACACCCAGTAAGTTCTTGCTAGTCGTATGTAAAGGTAGCCAATGACAACCCCTGGGCCCACAATACTTGTGCAGAAGAGGATGGTGATATAGATTTTGTAGGACATCTTGCTCCAAGTGGGAAGACAGATGTTCTTTCCTCCTTGGACTAACTGGATCATGATAAGCATTGGGAGGGTGAGAAGTAAGGACACCATCCAGATGACAATGGCAATAGCTTTGCGGTAACTCTTAGACCTTTTCACAGTATCCAAAGGCTTCAGCACAGCCAAGTACCTCTCTGTGCTCATTACCATCAGGGTGAAAATGCTGGCATGCATGGTAAGGAAATCCAAACTGAAAAGGATCCGGCACCCAGCATCCCCAAAGTACCATTCCTGAATGAAATAGGTCCCGACAATGAAAGGGATGGTGAGAAGATAGAGTAGGTCTGCTAAGGCAAGATTGATGATGTAGATGTACATTGAGGCTGAATACCTCAGATAGTGGCACATCACCACCAGTGTGTAGACATTGCCAGTCACTCCAATAATACACATGAGGGAGAGGATGGTGCCAATTGTACAGGTAGCTATAATGTCCTCAGTGGAAGAGGCTCCATCCCAAGTGTTGTTGTCAGAAACATTGGGGCTGATTCTGAGTGGGCTACTGCCAGGTCCTGTTACTGTGGCCACCCTCACAGTTGAGGGGATGGTGCTTTCCATCTTTGCGAAGGATCTAGCTCCACATGCCTCAGAGAGTTGAGAGAATGACTTCTCCAGTTAGGGATGACAGACACTGCAAAAAGGAGAGGAAACTGCAGGATTTTATCCCTATGGTGTTACATTTATGCTGAAGTGGCAGTACCAGCAATCTTCTGAAGTGCTTCACATCCACACTTTATTCTAGAGGAAAATCATAACAAACAATATTAGATAGAATCACAGAATGGTAGCATTGCAAAGGTGCTGAGGTCTTAAACAACAGTCTTGTAGCCAAGTACATCACCAGCTTTATTGGTGGAGGGCAATGCATTTGATTGCCATTGATGGACATTTAATCCCTTTAGATTTTTATTCTGTATCAGCTAGTCCAACTCTCCAAATTAAGGGCATTTATTACACACCTGTGCCACAATGTTTCCTTATTAGATGCCATTCTATTCTGCCACCACAAAATAATAGCAGGGATGATCATGATCAAGCATACTGAGATTCCTGACACCTAATAGACACAATTTAATGAAATCCAATACTTTAAAGGAAGATAAGATCCAATAATAAAGTATTCTGAATCCTCTTGTAGTACTGTAAGGTTAAGTAATAAATTTTATAGAATATTAAGGTAGTTTTGAATTTGATAATAGCCATCCAGATTCTTGTTGCTACCAAATGGACATATATTCTATGTTGAATACACTAATGTTCTCCTTATGGTAATTTCTTCAACCTTGGCAGCATTTGGGGAGCCAATGTGATAACAGCTATTGCCGTTTATTTTTTTCCCTGTGTAATCAGTGCAAAACTAGCTTTTCTTAAAATTGGTACTTAGACATAAAAGAACAATACATTTTATGACTGCATGGATATCTTTGTTCCAGATGAAGGAGAGGATTTTCTCATAGGCTTAAAGGAACGTATTATTCCCATCTACACTGAATTGATAGAATTTAGATAGTAATTTACCAGGTCTTTATTGATTCCGTAAGTTTACTCTAGATGGGACTAGCAATTTAATTCAAACCATGCTTCCTTATGCTTTCTTTATAACATTAATTCTATTTTCTTCTTAAATGAGCATTATTTCACAACTTATTGTCATCAGGTGGGGAGGAGATGGTCAAGGTGATACCCTTCCAACTCTGTGATTCTTGGTTGTGGGAAAGATTGTCAGGGRCGCTTATATGGTTTGAGTACTGGTTGGACAAAGYCTCTAGGGAACCAGCCTTGAAACYCACTTTGGGCAAGTTGYACTTTCTTATGGAAAAACCTCCTCTAACTAAATCTTGCCAATAAAATCCTATGGTGTGGCCTKTATCAATTGGATTTACCTTGAAGACATATCTCAACAACAAACTATCTGAATGAAATGCTTTTTCTCCTTCCTTYTCCTCCACTCTATCCAGAAATATGATAAATTGAAGGTCTACAAAAATAAATTCACATTAATTCAAAAATACAAAAATAAGTTCACATTAATTTACAAGTCAACTATTGACATGTAAATTAATGTGAACAAAACAAAGTATCACTTAAATTTCACTCAATTCATTTGAAGAATTGGGTATGTATTTTTTTTTAAAAAAAATGCATAGAGTTCTAGTCCCTAGAACCTTTTTTTTTTTACTACTGTTTGAGATATTATGTACCTAGACATTTCCAATATTCTTGAGGAACAAATTAAATTATTCTCAGATTTTTTGCTGAGAGGGGAAATCTCTCAGAAAATATCTAGAAAATTACCAGAGCCGGCAGGACTGGTTCATCATTGAATTACTACCTAACATAACTCTATGAAAAAACAAAAGGGGCTCTTTAATCTAGATCCAGCTGAAATATATGGCTATTGATTTATTTTATACTGGCAGCTACCTCAGTTGATATAGAGCATGCAAGTTTTCTTTTAGATTTTCACTGTGGGACTCTCAAAGGTTTTCTACTTTTAAAACCACCTTCAGTTTTATGTCATCAAAGAATAGGAGCCTGATGTACTTCAGGGCAGTTATTCTGGCAGACTTTTGAACTAAAGATTCTTAAATAATAGGCTTTTCAGAAATTGCTTTAATCCTAGTGCTTTTAATGGCTTTCAAGCTATACTAAGTGTATACTTTCAATTGTTTTATTATTGTTAATAGTTTAATTGTGTTTAAAATTGATCCTTCATATGTTTTTTTATTATATTGGACTCATTTTAGTTTAGAAAACTGTCTTGAGTCTGTTTTGGGGAAAAGACAGGGATTAAATAAACAACACAATAGCATCAATCAACTCATAGACATAAAAATGCTTTGTCAATTCATTACACTTACTGGTTCTGATAAAGAATTCTAATAATTCTTGGAGCCCAGTCTTGTGCATGTACTGTATTCTTGACCATTAAATTACATTCAGATCAGTGGGGCTCAGCTCAAAATACATAACCAAACATTCAATTCCAACTACAGAAACAGAACTACAGCCTCCTAACCTAAAGACTCAGTGTAAATATATGAGCTTAGTATTTTTACTGTTTGTGAAGACATGAAAGAATCCAAACAATTTAACTGCCTAAAATGAAAACACTGAACTTCCTTTATTTGTAAAGTAATATGGCTAGTTTGCCCAAAATGAGGCACAGGAAAATCTAGACATACTTAAACACATAAATACAATTTAGTTTTACATGTATCAATTAAACATTTCACAGCACCATGTGAAAAACGTCCTGTCTTTCCTACCCTTTATTTCTGCCTTCACTTGAAATGATCAACCACACACCCCAGGGAATTATAATAATCATGTAGAAATGCCATATCCAAACCTGAATCCAGTGAAATCCAGTTGATGAAGTTCTTTCTTATAGATAAAAATTGTACAGTACAAGAAGCTTGGCAGAAACACCAAAAAATCTCCCTAGACAAGACTAAAAAGCAACAGCATGAAGACCTGAGCATCTGGACTCAGAGAGCATCTGGAATGGTTGTGTGCGAAAGAGGGGCTACCTAGCCAAGTATGTTTGAAATTTGTGCCCTCCCGGTTCTTGCATTCATTCATGCTGCCTGGTGACGTCCAGCTCTGTAGAGCTGCAACTGCAGCAAGCTAGTTAGGGTCTCATTTAAAGAAGCAGCATTAGTATTTGGAAAGCCAAGGCTGGCTCTGCAAACACTCTCTCCCCCAGCCCAAGAGTCAGCAGTCCAATTCAAAACATCATTGCTGTTGCTTTTAGGGTGCATTGGGAGACAGTCAGCAAGAGAATACTTATTACTTACTCAGACAGTCCCTGAACAAGTATGAACAAGATAACTTCTGTAGGTTTTTTCTTAAATTTAATTTGTAAGTCAGAACAGGCACATTTTGAAAGTGTAACTTCATCCAAGTGTGTGTGTATGTATACACACACACACACACACACACACACACACACATTTCTTTGGCTGGAATGGGGAAGGGTTAACATCCCTGTGGTACCTCTGTTCAGAAGATTTCACCTTACTTTCTGTCCCTGTGATAATTGGATTTTGAAAAATTGTCTTGAGGAAACAAGGACTGGTGAGAAAGCTTCAATGGAGACAGATTTCCCCCATGATAATAGCTCTTTCAGGAGTGAATTTCCCTTCTTAGTGGTAGATTTCTCTCAAATCCTGTTGTCTCACCCCCATTCTTGAATCGGTTGTAAGTCAGATGTTTGTAACTCAGGAACTGTCTGTATAACCTTTAAAAACACTGTGAGGTTTTCCACACTCAACCACTTGGGTGGATAGTAATCCCCATATTCTTCAGAAAAGCTTAAGAGTAGAAACAGATGGCTGTGGAGGCACAGGCTACAGTGAAAGAAAGGGTTACATTCTTCTCGGGACATTGGCAGCTAGACTGTTGGCACAGATTATTAATTCTGAAAGGGAGTGGAGATTTGTTTGGGCGGAGGAGTTATTGACAGCTGAGCTGTGAAGAGGGTATCACGAGTGGCATCTATTTGACACTATTGTCCTAACAGTAATAAGTAGCTGTCTCACTAGTTTAGTGATAAGTCCATTTCTATTTTGACATAAAGTGACTTCGGTGAAATGGGAAAGGGGGGGGGGGGGGATAAAATAAGAACAAAGCGATAATGGTAATTTCTCTTTGATACCAGATTTCAGCATATATCCTCCAAAGTTATTTAGCCAATAATTTTAGGAAAAAATTAAAGGCTATTTTAGTTTTTTTTTTCTTTTTTCTATTTTTCCACTCTCTTACTCACACATATCAATACAGAGCCATAATTCTGGGAAAAGATCATAAACATCCCAAACAGATGGCAGGATTCTGATAATATCTGTCTGTTCCTCTCATTATCCCAGAAACAGTCCAAAATTACTAAAGTGGACATTCTTTCTTTCTCCTGCTTTTATTGATAGCTCTACTGACAACCTCAAGACTACATTTTACCAGTAGAGCTATGCAAGTCTTAATATGGTTGTCAGTGGGAGAAAATGTAGTCTTTGCAACTGGTATTAGATACAAGCTTTGGGTTTCTTTAACTGAGGGAACATCCATGGTGGTATCACGCACCTTCTTCAATCGCTTTGCAAGATCGGGAGGGAATGAGGCTATGCAGGGGTATTGGTATATAAGAGTTAAAACCTTTCCATAAAATCTAAGATTAACCTTAGTTTCCTGAAAGTGTTGTAAGAAGAATTATTGAGATAATCAATAAGAAAGTGTATATGGCAACCAAGAAGATATATTAGAGGTCAATTGAAGGAAAAATATAACTGGCATATTTAGTTTAGTTGGACATACAATCGGCATTCCATATCCACAAATTCTGAACCATGAATTCAATCACCATTCTGAACCATGAATTCTGAACCATGAATTCAAGGCCCCTACGTTGGCAGTCTTTAGGAAGAACTTGAAGACATGGCTGTTCCGATGTGCTTTTCCAGAATAGGAAACTCCAACAACAAGTCCCAGAAGCACTTTAGTAGAAATTAAGATTGCTGGCACACTGCACCTACCCTAAAATCCCACATACCACCTGTCACATCAGCACTTTTAATCTGTACCCATTACTCTGGCCCGGCCCAGTTTTATTGTGTCTTGGTGTATTTTTTATTGCTTTGTTGTTTTAATATTGCTTTAATTGTTTTTGATTTGCTTTATGTTGTGTATTGTTGTGTTATGTTTTGAGGCCTTGGCCTTTGTAAGCCGCATCGAGTCCTTCAGGAGATGCTAGCGGGGTACAAATAAAGTATAATATATTTAATATAATCACAGCTCAAAAATATTTTATTTTAAATATTTAAATATTTTATTTTCTCTCCAAACATTGTCACTGATTTTACCATTTTATATAAGGGACAATTTTTGTTGTTGTTATATATTGTAAAAAATGGGATATTATATATTGTAAATAATGGGACTTGAGCATCCACAGATTTTAGTATCCAGAGGGTTGTCCTGGGAGAAAACCTGACCAGATATCAAGAGTCTGTATTTGGCTTAATGAAGGCTTGCGTGAGAAGGTAATCTTCTCAAATACATGAATAGCCCTTATCAAACAAATGGGAATATTAAACAAATAGCGGAGGTGTAATATGAATGATAGAGCTTAAATCAAAACAGGATAATATTTTTCAATATCATTTATGAAGATTAAGGCAAATGTTTGCATATTAGGATTTACTGTGTGACTGCCTTAATATCAATTACTGTACAAAGAAGTGAGGCAAAATTAAAAACAAAAGTAAACAAAAGTAAGAAAACCCAAATAGAGACAATTAGCAATAGAAATTCATTAAAAGAGTCGCAGGAACACTTTAACTAAAGATGAATATAGAAAGGCTTCCACCAGAATAGGGATATCTGTTTGCTAGGATCTAGTCATCTCTTTAGGATCTCCTGCACTTTCTTATCATTCTTCAACAATTTTTGCCATGTTACATTACAACAGCACATTATTGTTTTCTTTCTATTCATTCTTGGATCTTAGTTGACATTTGGAGGTGTCTTCTGTATGATACTGCCAAACATCATTCTGAAGAATTACTTGGGAATCACATTATGGAATTAATTGTCACCCAGGCATGACTTAAAGCTTTTGCAAAGCATTCATAGAAGCACCTTTTCGTTGGACTATAAGTTGGCTTTGAGCTCATAAGCCTTTTTATCAGTGCGTAAGCTAACACTTGTTTCTGTTGCCATTCAGAAGACTGATGACCTTTTTTGTGCAGACTTAGCTAAGGACTTGTGTCAAAATGGGGAGAAAGGCACCTTAGATTTTGCGGAACATAGGATGGAAGGAGGGAGGGAGGGAGGGATTAATGAGGAGTTATTTGAGGGAAAGGGAGAACCTTTGGGCGTATATAGGAATGGAAATATCTGGGAGTGGCGGCGGTCTGTGCTGGCTACCCAGAGGACGGCCAACAATACAACATCTGGCCTTATGGATCAGCCCACTGCACCTTGTACTCAGAATCAACATCTCTCTACGGACAATTTTGCAGTGGACATTGCCGATCTAATGGTAAACAGAGGCAGATGGACCTCCAAGAGGGCAGTTTGTAATTCCTTAACGAAACGCAAAAACCCCCAAAAAACGAATCGATTTTAGAAACAAATTTTTTCGTTGTTACCCAGGCCTAGCAATTACAACCTGGAAAAGTTTAAGAATGCTATTTTGTGTAAATCTAGCATGCAATTATTTGAAGAAGATTTTATATGTAAAAGAAGAAATGCATTGCCCGACTTACCGGGCAAGGCCTGTTGCGGCGGGGGGCGCTCTCCCGCCAGCCATGTGGGGAGCAGGGGGCTTCTCCTTCCCAGAGGCCCCCTGCGTGGTGGGAAGCTTTCCCGCTGCCTGGTCAGCAGGCCAATCAGCGGCCAGCCCCACCCAGCACTTTCAAGGGGCCAAGGGGCTGGCCTCTCCCTCGCCCAGCAGCCTTATATAGGCTGGCTGGGCCAGGCAGGCCCAGACCTGCTTTGAGTTGTCCTCCCACCCACCCTGCATGTTTCATGTTGTTGTATAGTATTGCAGTTTTTTGGTTCGTCACAACTTGCGTTGGCATGTGGCATGGGCCCTGGATCTGGTTGCTGCCCCTCCCCTACTGGCCGGGGAGGGAATATACAGCTGTTCCCAGGGTTCTGTTTTCGTTGCCCGGTATTGTGCCGGTGTTGTGCCAGTTTAATCTCGTATCGGTCAGCAGCGGGCTGATCGATCTTGATCCAGAACCCTGGCAGCCAACCCCTTGTTCCTGTAAACAATAAATTAAGTTGTGGCCATGTTTTACTCCATCTACGTGTCAGCGTCGTCTCTGTTTTTTTTGGCGGGAGGAGTGTCGCCCATCCACATGCAATAGCCTTTTTTGGAATGTTTCAGATATGAACAATGTCTGCTGTGTGTGCGTGTGCGCACGCATGCTCCTCCCTCAAACTTTAGGATGAGACTCAGATGCGCTGTCCCGCAGGCTTCCGAGTTTGAGTGTGTCCACTTGAAAGTGGGGAGCCGTGACAGTGTGGGGTTCCTGCTGGTGCTGTCTGAGCTAGCGGAGGTGGTCTCTAATTCGGCCTTGGTCTCCCAACGCCTGGTGGTGCTGGGAGATTTTAACATCCACGCTGAGACCACCTTATCTGGCGCAGCTCAGGACTTTATGGCCACCATGACGACCATAGGACTGTCACAGATAATATCTGGCCCCACTCACCAAGCTGGACATACTCTTGACCTTGTCTTTGTGACGGACAACGAATTGATCAGAGTGGAAGATCAAAACATCCTTCCTGTGTCATGGTCTGATCATTATCTGATCACTTTTAGACTTGCTGCGACTCTTAACCTCCGCAGGGGTGGAGGACAAATTAAAACGGTCCGCCCTAGGAGACTGATGGATCTGGATGGATTCCTGAGGAATCTTGGGGTTCCTCCTGCCTTGGAGCCTGGCGATCCTATCGACGCCTTG